TTGCAGTTTAACAATCACTTCAAAACAATTTGCCCTTGATGACTGAAAACCCTGTGTTTAAAGGATAAGTTCACCTTTTGGACAAAAAAATAATAAATGCACGTTTTTTTGGCAGGTAAAAAAATTTACAATTTATTACTTTTGTCCAAAGGAGCCTGGAAAGCATTGCCCCAGCGATCAGTAGATAGCTGATGCCATGCAGGTCTCCTGCAGACATGTCAGAATATCTGCTTGCCATATGGGATGTACGAGCAAGCTGATATTCTGACAGGAAGCTTCAATGAACTACTACGGCGCTCCACAGCGCCGTAGTAGTTCATTAAAACTTTAAGTCCACAGCCGCTAAGGATGTCCGGACTTGTAGGCACTTATTCACAGAACACTGTAAATGAGTGAGGCAACCGTATGGGCAGAGCCCCGCACAGCCATGCTGTTTTCAAATCCGACATATCATACAGGGAAACTTCTCCCCGTACTGTCAGAGGGAGGGGGGGCAGTGGGTTTGGCTATGGGAACATGTTCCACTCCAAAACCGTGTCTTTTAAAAAATTATAATTTAGCTTTTGATTGTCCTCTTAGATATTGTCCTTTGGGACCTTTTTAGATATTATTGGACTCTCAGATTACAATTCAAATATATCCACTGTAACACTTAAAGTGGTTGTAAAGGTGGAATTTTTTTTTTTTACCTTAATGTGGTTGTAAGCCTCAGACATGAAATATGTACAAAGCATATCCCTCTATAGTGTGTACTTATCTAAATACAGAGCATTGTGCCTTTTCTGCCTGCTGCATCTTTCCTCTGCTATTTGCATGAGTGACTTCCAACAAGTTTACTGACACCAAGAAAAAAAAAAAAGGTGACAGGGTAGGGACCTCCAGTACACAGATTGTGGTTGAAAGTCTCATCTCTGTTCCTATGTGCTGTGTGAAGGGGGGGGGGGGGGTTGTCCCTTCCTCCAATCAGCTCTCAGAACTCAATTTCAGGTCTCTGCCCACTGATATTTAGAAGCACAGACAAGCTGTGTAAACTCTGCACTTTTAGCAGATGTAGAGGATAGTTTCTACAGATAAACAGGTACAACTTATGTAGGAGAATTTGTTTAATCTCGGTGTATCACCTAAAACCAGTAACTTCACTGGATACTTGTAAGAATTTTACAACCACTTTGATGTATTCTCTGCATTAAGATAAATCCCAGCCCCACTAAATACTTACCTGAACCCAATCTCGATCCAGCTCTGTGCTCAAGAGCAGCAGCCCTCTCCTCTCTCTGTTCACTGGCCATAGAGGCAGCAGTGGGAGGCATTGGCTCATGTTGCTGTCAATTACAGCCTGTGAGGAAAGAGTGGGGGTGCGGGGCAGAGCCACACTCTATGTTTCCATAGACACTTAGGGCACGGCTTGGGATCAAGCCCATACCAGAGCAGGCAAGTATAACATCTCTATTGTTAAAAAAAAAAAAAACTTTAATCACTTTAATAAAGGGCCTTTTTTCCCCATTCTATAAACACTGTTTATAAACACAAAAAATAATAAATGGACTCCTTTGTAATAATATATGTACAGTATACGCCGATGCATAGGTACAGTATACATTGATGTATGAACAAAGAAGGCGCTTGGAATACAACATCCATTTAGCTTTTTAAACTATTTTTTATTTCTTTCCAAGCTCATTGTGCTTGTGTTGTAGTGGGAATCACTAACTTGTTTTCTTGCTGGTTCATATGTTTAAACTTTGTTTAATCCAAACACTCAGGGTGTCATTTGGACATGAAGTAAGGGGTAATTTACCAAAAGAGGACACACAAAAATGGTTAAAAATTTAAATGGCAAATAAAATTCCAATAAAAACTTCAGGAAGGTATATTTAAAGAGGTATGAAATTGTTTATGAATTCAGATGGTTTAACTACCTGAAATGTGTCTGAAATGATTTATCTTTGTCTCATTATTTTACATCACAGAAACCTGACATTTTAACAGGGGTGTGTAGACTTTTGATATCCACTGTATATTACTGCCATACATTTACACTTTACCATTTTCAATTCCTTATGAACATTGACATTTAAGTCAAACCCTGTGTAAACGAATGGGATACAGCACATACACATTCTTATTGTAAGTACTATTTATGGATAATGAATTGAGGTACAGTATTAATAATGTAATAATGAACATATGTAATATCACTGTGACTAACGGTATGTTTTCTTGATTATAGATGTGGCCATATGGGGGTTGAACCAGAATGGGAAACACATTTGCATTTAAATCACTGATGCATTCTGCAAAATAAAGTTAGTTTGACTTATATGTCAGTTTCATATGGAGCTGTAAATGGAAAAGTGTATGGGAATAATAATCCTTTATTATTTTATGAATTTTGTAGATATTTGTATAGAAATTAAAAAAAAAAATTATAATTCTTGAAATTGTTTGGATAATAAAAATTTTCTATGGTGAATGGTGTGACACCATGAAAATTCCTACTTTACATACGGAGTCCATTATTTTCTGTTACTGGTATGTGGTGTTGGGATCGATAATTTATAAAGGAACATATTTACTTATGCAATTAGTTCAATGAATGGAAAAAAAAGAATGAATTCATTGAAAATCTCCATATTGTATAATTTTATCTTGAAAAATGTAAGCATTAAAATGAAAACTGTCTATTTATCTGTAGTTACTACAAAGCAGAAATGAAATCATTTAAATTGCTGTATAGTACGCCCCATTTAATATATATTTGATTTAATTTTCAGGCCAAAGTCCTTGCAGTACAGGCACTTTTTTCCCATAGTGTTATCAAGTGTGTTCTGGAGCATGTCCTCATGGTTGAGTAATAGGAAAGTGCTAACTTTTGCTGGGCAGTGTTGATGGGCATAACAGCTGACCACACTAAAGAAATACTAGAAACTCAACTGGCCTACTGTTTTACTCACACACCTCGTGTGGACAAAAAACATAAAAACCTCTGCTTTTAAGGTTACTTTAGCCTGCTGTGAAAGTGGATTAGCATGAGGAAGTCTGAGGCAGAGAGCTGAAAGTAAATTAGGTCCTAAGACTTATTTGTATATTCCATTAACCATTTTCCTCTATTTTACGTTTTATGCAACAAAGCTAAAGAAAACCCATCCAAAAGACCAAAGTACTTTTTTTTTTCAAGATGAGAAAAGAAAAACTTGATATCCCAAGGCCCAGCAGAGGGGAGGCACTGTCATTGCAAGACGCTTTTTGGATTTCAGAAATGCTGAAGGGTGTGTTCTAGCCATCTGGCTCTAATCCACAAGTGCCAGTTACAGAAAAGCTCTCTCTTTGGTGGCACCTTCACATTCTTGTCTTGAGTAGATGGGAAGGACTGTTGTCAGAGCTGAAAAAAAGACTCTCACACAAAGGCTTCAGTCACACTGGCATCCTGCATTTAACTTTTCTAAATTCAGAAGAAACTATGTGGGAAGCACAAATAATTTTTACACTTCCCAGATCACTTTTTCCTACGTTTAGATGTTCCTTCTTTAAGCAGCTTAGCTGTGTTTACATATCGAATCTTGGACACACAAAATTCTATTTTCTCTAAATGCAGTTAAACTAATCATACCTGGATGCGGGTTTATGAATGGCACAATTGAAGTGTGATCTGCACGAAGTTATAAATATTTTTTCAAACATACTTCAGCAATGCAGGCCATTATGTTCATTCACGTAAAAGGAACAGGAGAAGATTTACAGGATTTACAGATCCAAGATTTACAGGATCCAAGTTATATAAATATTTTTTCAAACATACTTCAGCAATGCAGGCCATTATGTTCATTCACATAAAAGGAACAGGAGAAGATTTACAGGATCCATCATCCTTATCCAGGATTGGCAAAGCAGTGAGTCACAAACTTTATATAAGCAGGGCTTTTTTTTTATCTGGAACTTGGTGGAACTTCATCCCACCACTTCTGGCTCAGGCCCTCTGCTCACCACTATCACTTGTAAACACACAAGACCAGCTTCTGTGTTTACAAGTGACAGCGTGACTCCCAATAGCTTCCACAAATCTGATCTCCTGAGTGGCCCTGAGTGTAGGAAGGGGACAAGGGGGAAGCAGGTGCCCAGGGTGCAATACAGATTGCTGGCACCCCCAGTAGGTGATCTCCCTGCAAGTGAGAGGCAGAGCCATCTACAGTGTTTAGGGAGGTACTAGAGTCAGCTGGGTACTTCAGATTAAAAGAGCAAGAAAAGTAAGACATGCAAAATGGTGGAGCTTTTAAGGAGGGAGGAGGGTAATGGAGGGGGTGTTGAATGCACAGGTCAGAGGTGAAGAGGGGTGAAAGTGAGCTGTGGAAGGGGGATGCAGCAGTGGAAGAAGGCTGAACTCTGCACTCTGCATGTAGTGTACCCCTGAACTCTGCGCATAGCACACCCCTGAACGGTGCACTCAGTGTGTAACCCCCCCCCCACTCTGCATTTAATGCACTCCTGGTATTTAATGACCCTTTAAGACCCTCCTGTTAGTAAAACTGACCACAATTTCATGGTTGAGTCCCTGCACCTATTTTCTGAGAAGAAAAGCCCTGCATACAAATCTGTGCATATCGGGTGACACTAGATGCGTGTTTATACCAGGTCTGTGACCCACTAAACTAGAAAGAAAAGACCACTGTGGAGCCTTTCCTTTCAAAAACAAGTCTGCAATAACATCAACCATATTTTTATAGTGATTAAGTGCCATGTAATATATAATAGACCTCCTGCGCTTCAGATGAATGAAAACTAACTAAGCAGCCAGCACCCTCTTTAGACCAAAAAGTGTATGAGTAAATATAAAAATTGGTGCAGCGCTAAACAAATGCCATTAATAAATGAACATAACCCTAAACTAGTACATAAATAATATATATATAACGCAAATAAGCATGCATGCAAGGATGACCCCCTGCCAATCCCCTATGGGGAAAAACGTGACCATATATCTATGATGGTTTGTACATATAATCATGCAAAGGGACAACACACTGCAGCAAGTGATAAAGTGAATGAATACAGTCCACTTCAAACAAAACTGTGATTCTTCAAAACGTGAGAGTGCCACTGGTGCCACAATCCTACAATGGTCTGAGTGCCTCCTCACCTCCCCGCATTGACCACAAGGGCCAATACGCCTTGATAATATATAGGGTATATCCCTCAGATGTCAGCCGGTCTCAGATCCACAGTAGATTCCACCTCAAATACTGTATTCCACTGACTGACTTCATCAGGGTCGTGTACCCGTGACGCAACGCGTTGGCACGCCCTGACGACACTTCCGGTACGCGGTGACGTCACTTCCGACGTACGCGCCATATTGGGACTCCAGGTACACCCGCAGTACCAGGATTACAAGAGGACTTGCTATATGCTTTTAACCTATTGCGGAAATGTGAGTAGGAATTCTGTATCTATATTTTATAATAAAAATTACAGTATCACGCTATGGGAAGTTTTTGTTTGTGTCTCTGAGCATCGCCTGGTGGTATACTACCACCATTAACAGTGGCTGGAGGTGGCTTTGGAATACAGTATTTGAGGTGGAATCTACTGTGGATCTGAGACCGGCTGACATCTGAGGGATATACCCTATATATTATCAAGGCGTATTGGCCCTTGTGGTCAATGCGTGGAGGTGAGGAGGCACTCAGACCATTGTAGGATTGTGGCACCAGTGGCACTCTCACGTTTTGAAGAATCATAGTTTTGTTTGAAGTGGACTGTATTCATTCACTTTATCACTTGCTGCAGTGTGTTGTCCCTTTGCATGATTATATGTACAAACCATCATAGATATATGGTCACGTTTTTCCCCATAGGGGATTGGCAGGGGGTCATCCTTGCATGCATGCTTATTTGCGTTATATATATATTATTTATGTACTAGTTTAGGGTTATGTCCATTTATTAATGGCATTTGTTTAGCGCTGCACCAATTTTTATAAGTGCCATGTAATGCTTTCAATTAAATACATTTTAAAAGCATATTGGTTATATTTCTACAAATGTATACTACAGGAATGCAAAGAATGCACATATTTGCTGTAAAAGCTTGTTGTGTGTCTGTTCTATACACTGACACAAATAATACAAATTTACCAAGTACTTGAAGATTTAGTTATGCTTATAGTAATGAAAAATGCTGATCTTGCTTTCCATGTTCTATTATCCATGTGGTGCCTTCTGACACTATCAAAGATCTATTGGTCTTCTCTAAACTAGCAGTTCTTTCATAGGACCTCAAGCACCATAGCTGTAAAGTTGAGAGGCAGTGCCGTTGATTCATTTAGAATCAGCTCAGACTGCACCGCATCACACCAAGGTACTGCATGCGTCAATTTTGGGAATACACTGCAACCGGATCACATGGTCGTTTGTATCATGGGATCCGGTGCAGGCAAACACACTGTGTTTGCGACCTGCATTTGGGGTGCCAGGGTACTAAGTGTAGTCCTAGACTCCAATCTGTCCTTTCAGCCCCAGGTCCAATCACTGACAAACTCATGTAAACTTCACCTCCACCACATCTCCAAAATACGACCGTTCCTAACCTCAGAAACCACTAAGCAACTCATTCACTCCCTTATTATAGCACGCCTTGACTACTGTAACTCCCTCCTCACTGGCCTACCTCATCGCAGGCTACCCCCACTCCAGTCCATCATGAATGCTGCTGCCAGACTCATCCACCTGTCAGGGCTCCCAGGTATGACCAGAGGTGTGTGACTGATGCAGGGAAACGCAGACTTCAGATATGTGATAAACAATACAATTTATTAACACTAACAATACAAACATAAACGCAGTGCAATACTAAAACATAACACAGTGCAAACAAACCAAACCAACCACCCACAGATAACAGTATATACAAGCAAGCGTCGTCAGGCAGGCCGGGTCAATATCAATTGGGCAGGTAGGTACAGGGGGAGCAAGCAGAGAATGGTCGGGGTCACAGGCCAGGTTCAGCAGGTAGCAAGCAGCGTAGTACAGAGGGTCAAGCAGAGGGATGGTCAGGGTCACAAGCCAGGGTTCAGGACAGGTAGCAGAGAATCAGACAGGAACAGAGAGCAGGAACAGGATACACAGCCCTGGTATGCAGATCAAAGGCAGGTGGTCCCACCCTGGGCCGTCCATTTTTAACAGTACCCCCCCCCCCCCCCAAAGGG